GTCGAAGGAGCCTAGAATTGGTACTTTCCAGAAAGTATAGGTGGCCGGCATGATGCTGGACACAGCATCCACCAAGTGCCAATGGGTCTCTACAAATATCTGTCTAGCATCATTTGCCAGACATGCTGTTGGCATTAAAAGGCCCTTCACTAATTTAATAAAAAATACATCAAGATTACCCTGTGTGTGGTCTTTAACTAGCTATATAGGAGGTTTATAAAAAAGTCAAATTTACATCATTTACATGTGTACACAGAATGGTACAAATCAGAGTGGTGAATCACTGGAACAATCAAAGTAAAGTATAAGTGAAGTAGTTAAGTAAAGGACCCTTTTCCACACTTTTAGGCATATAGGGCTAGACCTATATTTTATAGACCAATCGGCACAAAATGGGTGGTGTGGTCAGCATCACACCGTCCGCCTTTACTTCCTGCGACTGCATCTGGTACCCACTCAAGGCTGGGTCGACTTGGGAGAAATGTAATTTTTTGAAAAAGTCAGGCTCAGCCAAGGAGCAAACCCACGACCTTCTGATCTGCAGGTGAGCGTCTAGCTGCTCCGCCACAGTGTCTCCCAATCAAAGTAATAATATCAATAATTAATAAATAGCAAAATGCATTAAAATACATTAACTCTTCCAGTCCCAGGGGGTTTACCATCAAGGCGCAAAGGGTAGTACACAAGGTTGTAAAATCTGTGCATCTTGTGTTCACTGGGCTTCTGGGTAGGAATCAATGAACATCTGATGTGTTCGCTGGGACTGAAAGAGTTCATGAGCACTCATTAAAGTTAAGGCAAATAACAGAGTCAGTGCACCAGTCAATATTTTAACCCATTTCCTCTAAACAAAATTATCACCATGTCTCAACAAATATCCTTCAGTTTAAATCAGCCTAGTTTTATGCATTCCAGGACTTATGAAGGCAAGTCCTTCTTAAACTTTAAAAAAAAGCTACGTGGGTCGACATATGTGTAAAGAAGGACCAGCTTCTGATCATCAGAAACCTCATGTTACATATATTTAATCCATTTAAAAAACCTTTAAGTTTAAAGGACCCCAAACCCGCAATGCTATTTTTAGCTAATATATTCACATCCTGACCAGGCGTGAACAAAGCCAACAGCTGTACGGACTTGTTGATGTGGTGGCTGCTTTGTTGCAACAGGGTTAAATAAAGAGTAAATATTGCTCAATAAAAGTTGAAACCAGTTTCAATATGCTCTACATTCTTCTTTTTCTGCATTTGTTCTTAAACAAAGGGGCTGTTATTACACTATGTTTGGTTTACAGCTAGGCTGCAGTATGTGCACCTTACATTACAATCCAAAAATCCGATTTCAGCAAACACATAAATAATCACATCTTACGATATGCTTGCTCGGGGCAGTAAGCCTATCCCCCTCACCTTCCACCCAAACTGTGTCCCAGAACACACAAGAGGAGCTGTAAATTTAAAATTCATGAACTTTTCTGTGCAAGTAAATGAAATTAATTATGGCAACCTTGGTAAAACGTGTTAAGGGGAAAGGACCAGAAAGAAAGCAAAAATTTATCACAGCAGACCCTGACAAATGCAAAATAAAATCATGAAAACATGATTACATCAAAAGCTATCCAGATATAAGGATGTAGTTGTCTCAATAAAAGCACATCAATTTTTTCTTGAGAATAATTAATTATTTTCATCTCGCGGACTACAAATCTCTCCAAGCAAATCATCTCATGATGCCTTCTAAAAACTTAATCAATTTACATGTTTATGTGTATGTGTGCATGTATTAAGTGGCTAACAGTTTCTAAAACATTGGTTGCCAGGATATAAAGGGAGCTAACTCACAGCTGTATGGTTATCCATTATTTTTTGAAGAAAATAAATGAAATACAAATTTTCCGTAAAAAATAAATATATATATATATTTGTAGAAACAGTAATACAATGTAAATTTTAGTTGCATGCAAAAATAATATTGGATCTTATAATTTATATTTTGTTGTTCTTCTTCTTTACCTCCTTTTTTTAATGCCTTCAGTCAGAATATATCTTCTTCTTCTCGTTCATTAGCTGCAAACACCCATAGACAGTTTTAGTTCTTCGTCCACTTCTGGGCTTTAGTCTTGTTCCAGAACTTGAGTGTTGTATGCACAATCATTTTACAGATGCCTCTCTGGCAAATGCACTCTGACTTTGAAGGAAACCTCTAATTAACTTGACTCTTACAATGTGCTTGTTAGTGGGTCTGTGGGCCTGTTCTTGTTTTCCTGTAATGGGGCACTGGAACCCACATGGGGAAATGGTAGATATAAGATGTTCTTGCTCAGCTGACTGCCTCGATCATAGACACATTTTTCTATTGTAGAATTTCTCTGGTATTACCTTTATATCTTATTCCTGGTCTACATCGTTCTTCACATATTTGTCCTCTTTTGATAAATGGCAGGATGTCACAAAACATAATATATTGTTTAGCAACAGTAAATCCAGTGCCAGCTTGCTAGGCCTGTCAGAACTTCACCAAAGCTCTGTTGGACAGGAAATTTCATTTTATATTGATCATACTAGGGACAACATTGCAGATATAGGTAATCTATTTCCAGCGAATAAAACAATAAGAAGACTTTTACATTGATATTTATTACCAAAGCATTTTTATATTAAAAAAAGCCTAAAACAAAGGTCCCAGCACTCACCCAAAATGTCTCACAGAAAGTACTGGTACTCACTTCATACTTTATGTTATACTAGCACTGAGAAAATGATGCCTTTAAAAAAAGTGCCAGTACTGCTTATTGTTGTGTAATGCCAGAAAAAAGCCTTGCTTGTTTTTTATATTACACTGTTTTCATCAAAGACTTCCCAAAACAGTTCACGACTCACATTCACAAGGCCCTACATGCAGATGACCTGGCCATATGAACCCAAGCTGAACATATAGGAACAACTAAAACAAGAATGCAGGAAGCTATAAATACTGTTAGGAAATTGACAGACACTTGGGGAGTCACAATAAACCAGACCAAAACTGTCTCGACTCTCTTCTCTCTTTCCACAAAGCTAGAACAAGTTGATCTGTACCTAGAAGGCAACATCCTTCCAAAAAAGGAAAACCCCACATATCTGGGAGTAAAATTCGACAGAAAGCTAAACTGACCACTCCCCCTTTTTCTCTTCCCCCCCCCTTTTTCCTTAAGACACCCAAAGGAAAGCCTCACTGCGGCTAAGAATTATGAAGAAACTGACTGGAACAAGCTGGGGTTTAGATGCCAACACTGTACGACAAGTATACAAAGGATATGTACGACCAAATCTGGAGTATGGCATGAAGAGCATACTCCACCGCAGCCAAATCAAACCTACATAAACTGGTCAAAATACAGAACACTGGTCTCAGAATAATCACTGGAGTATGAGAAGTACACCAATCCTTGAGCTGGAGGTAAATTCTGACCTCCAGTGCTTGAGCCTTCGAAGAAAAGAAATGGTGGTAACCCTAACAGACAAATTTTAAAGCACGAACAAAGGCCATATGCACAGAATAGCAAACAATAATAAAACCGACTGAAAAGACAAAGCTTTCACCATCTATCAAAATTGTATTTCATGGTATTTAGATGACTGGTTTATACAACAGATCTACATCATGGCACAAGGGTAGTAACCCATAAGTGCTCCATTCTACTTCTAACTCAAGCCTGAGTCCGTAGACTCATTAGCACAGTGCACAAAATCTGCAGCACCGTCAAGGATCCTGAAATACTTTGGGTAGATTTTTAACTACAAATTTTGCCTGGGCAGTGCTGCTAGGCTACTCTTATTTTTATTTCCAGCTGCCAAGGAATTTTTTACGTGTGCAACAATACACACGGGCGTTCAATCTTACAACCCAGAGATCAGGGCAAATTACTAAAAGTTCACGTGAACAAATCTCAGCCTTCACCAGGGCCTGAACCCAGGACCTCCAGCAATCAAGGCGGATGGTATTTAGTTGAGACTCCAACAGAAGTAAATCCCAGAAACCCTGTTCAACTGTATACAGTTGTCATATTAGAACACACAGCAGTTCAATTGTAACCTGTAGCCTATCTTGTGTACTGATAGGAATGCTAATATGCTAAAATACTTTCCTCTGAAACAATATTACAAACTTCATAAATCAAGAATGTAATGTAATTCATGATGGAGTACAATCAAATCCTCCCAGAATTAAAACTAGCTACATCCCAGTTAGACCTATTTGTATAGCTGAAAATGGACACCAGACTATGGGCAGGAAGTATAAGCTGTCAGCAATATGTTGACCGCATCACATATAAAATGCTGATCAATAAAAAATATGAGCCTTGCATCATTTGCTCCATGTGCCAATGGCATTTAAAAAATCCTTTACTTTACTTACTTACATCTCTATTACTTTTGTCTTAAGATAATATCTTCTTCTTCTTCGCATTCAACGGCTGTAAACTCCAGCAAAAAGTTATGGTTGTTCGCCCACCTTCGAATGGTAGTCATGTTCCAGAGTCTGAGTGTTGCATGCACATCTATTTCACAGCTCTGGCTTATTTGTAAGCAGACTGTCGGTTCCTTGCCTCTCAGGCATATACACAAGAAAGCCCCTCAGTCGACTCATACGACATGCCTTTTTGGCAAGGCAGTGAGTCTATTCTTGTTGTCCCTACAATGAGGCCCTGGAACCTACACATGGATGACATAAATTTCTTCTTCTTCTTTCGTTCGCATGAAATAAATTATCTATATCTGCAATGCTATCCCTAGTATGAATTTCACTGTCTTTTGTAATTCACTAAGCGGCCCGTAAAGTATTGTAATTAGTAATTATCACTCAAAAGCTGAAGAGTTAACTGTGCAAGCAGCCATGTGCCAAAGAAAGAATGAAACGTTTTAAAATTATATAATATTTGGAAAGGAATGTACAGTGATCATTCCTTTATTATTCTTGTCATGCAAAAACTGCTGTTAAACCATTGCTAGTTTACTTAGTTACTCTCTCCTGCTCTTTTGAAGGGTGGCAAAAATATCTTTAAACAGTGCCTTGTATGGAGGAATAGTGTTGGTGTCTTGGCCAAAGTCTTTGCTCAAGGTAATGTGGAGAAGGGTTTGAACTTCTTTATGTGCCAGCTGTTGACGAGTTTCCCCTTCTTTTGACTTGCTTTTATTCTGTAAATGTAGAAGCCAAAACAAGAAAAGGTGTCAGTTTAAAAAAACATGACAACAGTGTATGAAGAAAGCGTGTAGAGAAATGATACAAACTCTGTGAAGATGAAGACTAGATATCCCTTATTTCTACTTCCTAGCCCATAAAGTTCACCGTTGTACACAACATCAACCTCATTTCAATTTTGTGGCTTGCCTTCTCTTTCCAGTTAGTGACTCCAAGTGTTTGTATGTCTGAGCTCTCCACCATCTTCTTGCTCTACTTCTATTTAACTCTTTTGTGTACGCAGTTTCTGTCTGTTTTGTGCCATTTTCTTTAAATGTCCCAACCATTGCAGTCTATCAACCCTAATGGTTGCAGTAATAGGTGAAGTCTTAAACTGATAGTAATTTCATTGTTGCTTCTCACTTTCCATTCTCAGCTGTTTGCAGCTTTTGATCTCTTATCCCTCGACACCCACAGCGGTCAAAGAGGAAGTGAAGAAAAAGATCTCTTATCCCTCGACACCCACAGCGGTCAAAGAGGAAGTGAAGAAGAAGATCCCTTATCCCTCGACACCCACAGCGGTTAAAGAGGAAGTGAAGAAGAAGATCTCTTATCCCTCGACACCCACAGCGGTCAAAGAGGAAGTGAAGAAGAAGATCTCTTATCCCTCGACACCCACAGCGGTCAAAGAGGAAGTGAAGAAGAAGATCCCTTATCCCTCGACACCCACAGCGGTCAAAGAGGAAGTGAAGAAGAAGATCCCTTATCCCTCGACACCCACAGCGGTCAAAGAGGAAGTGAAGAAGAAGATCCCTTATCACTGTCTTTAAAAAAAAAAAAGAACAGTAATATATATTCTTTTTTATCTGTCTTTAACTTCCCCTCTTTCTTACTCACTCAGCAAACAACAGGAGCACTTTACTACAAGCAAACAATCTCACAATAAAACAATCCTCACAAAAGAGAAACAACAATAGTTTAATTTTAGGACCCAGAAATATGAAAAGTTAGTACTGGAAAGAAACAAATGAAATGGACATAAATACAATGCACATATTAGATGAAAGAATATTAAATGTTGATCCTGAGTCAAGGCTGCCCACACCCCCAACCCTCCTTTAAAAAAAAAAAAGACTTGTTCGCTGGTAAAACTAACATGAAAAACAGGATTGTAGAAATCCCAGTGTGGATTCTAGGGTCCCATTGTGAGGAAAACAAGAATAGACAAACTGACTTCCCAACAGGTATGTCATAAGCATTGACTAATTGGGTGAATGGGGGTGGAGTGGGGGGGGGGGGGGGGGGGGGAGGGGGGGGGCTTTCTTCAAAGTAAGAGTGCATTTGCCTGAGAGAAATAGAACCAGCAGTCTGCATTCAAATAAGCCAGAGATGGATGAACAACTAGAATTTTCCACTGTACTTTCTTCTTCTGCCTTTCTAGCCCCCAATGGAGTATAGGCCCTCAACCAACTCACGCCAAATCGTTCTATTCTTTGCTATCGCATGCAGCTCTCCCCATGTCCTCCCCACTTTTCTTTCATTCTCCAGCTCCCTTCTCCATGTGTTTTTTTGGCCTCATTTTATTCCTTGTCCCTGTGGGTTCCAATGCAAAGACTTTCTAGTTATGCTGTTCTCTGGTTTTCTCAATTTGTGTGCTATTCAACGCCAGTGTCTTTTCCTTACCTCTTGGTCCACTGGAGCTTGCTTAGTTCTTTCCCAAAGTTATTCTAATTCCCACTATTCTGTGCAGGCACCAGTTAATGAATGTATGTAGTTTAATAGTAATTGCCGTAGTTGTTCTCTATGTTTCCGGCCCATAAAAAAAGAACTGATTTGACATTATAATTAAAAAATTTAAGTTTTGTATTTCTATATATCAGTTCCCCCATCTTATTCTACTTTACTGCCCAAATAGGTGTACGACTCCATGTCTTAGAGTAGGGTGTCATTAAGAGAAACCACATTACTATTTGATTTATTCTCATTATCTTTGTCTTTCCTTTATGGATTTTCAGACCAAGCTGCTGTGATCTTGCATTAAGTATATTTAATTAATCTTGCATCTGATTCCGTGAATGGGACAGAAGAGAAATATCATCAGCAAAGTCCAGATCATCAAGCTGTTTTGTAGGGGTCCACTGAATTCCATTCTTGGTGTTAGCAGTTACTGTCTTCATAATTCAGTCTATAGCCAGTAAAAATATGAGAGGCGACAAAAGACATCCCTGTCACACACCTGTTTTTATTTCAAACTAGCTGTACCCGGCCACGCGTTGCTGTGGCGTAATTTGAGATAGTCTTTGATCCCCCCCCCCACCCCCCATCCCCACAACTAAATCCACCTAGTACCCTCTCCCTCATCAAAGGTTTTTGGAAAAGAAAGACAATGGAAATCGCACCTGTCTAATGAAGTTAATGACGCAGTCAATGTCTGCGCCGACGTCGAGATAGTCCTTGATTGCCCCCCCCCCCCCCCCCCCCATCAAAGGTTGTTTGAAAAAAAAACAGAAAATAGAAATCGTGTTTAATATGGTTATTGTGGCAAATATAGAGATAGTCTTGTTTGCTGTACCACGACCTACTCTATGTATTAGTATTAGAGAAGGCGTTGGCTGCACGTAACTCGCCGGCGAATGGTAAATACGGCGCATGCGCAATTACTAACGTGGCTATAATTAGAAATCACTAAAGTTATAAATATTAGTTGCGTATATTTTGGCATAAATTGTGGTCACCTATCTCTAACAGTGACAGGTTGAATTTCAAACCACAAAAGTTCAAAATCCGGTATCACAACAAACATATCCTGAAAATGTCAGCTAAATCGGTTCAGTAGTTTCCGAGTCTATAGAGACCAAACAAACACACAAACATTGATTTTTATATATATTTAGATAGATAGTCTGGTTTTCCAACTTTAGAACACGCACCATATAATTGTGTCTTTATATTAGTGGTCGTTTAAATGGTGTTATTAGCACGGTAACAAAAGTGGTTATTTGGTTATCACATGCTAAAGCTGTTTGTATTTTATAGGAGACTTAAGTAAAGCTACAACTGTACTTGTAAATAACAAAGTAAATCGTAAAAAATAGAAAAGCGGAGGTAGCGTTAGTAAAATATAAACAAATTAGGTAATGAAAACTTGAAAATCACGTGTAAAGCTCTTTTAGTTCTCTTAAATTTAAGTCATTACCCCCCTCCCCTCCCCTCTTCCACCGACTTCTGCTCTCTCCCTCTTCGAAGGATTTGAAAATCACTAACTGGCGATATTTTGTTGTTGCTGTAACTGACATTGACATCCCTGTCCATCTGGACTAAAATAAGGAGCAGGAATTGTAAAAGGTAGTGAATAGGGCTACAAAAAAAAAAAACACTTGAAAAGCAAATGAACACAGGAAAAAAACACCATAATTAGGAAATGAACGCCATTGTAAACAGCACAGCTTAAAATTCCAACACAGATGAAATAACTAAATCTAAATGAAAATAAATGAAAATCTATAAAATTTCAGCGTAACCATGCAATTGGAAAGTTTAACGATGCAATCATAAGTATGCGAAATGGTCAAATTTAATTATCAAATGGTTTACCCATTTACTTTTTTTTTTTTTTTTTTTTATTAAGGCAACATGGCTAGTGCTGTCACCACGACAGAGCAGATGAGGATATTATTTTAGTCCGGGGTAAAAAAAAATTTAACTACTGCGGATTCGAACCCAGGTCTACCGCACTTGAACCCAGTGTTCTAACCATTCGACCAAGCAGCCACTTAATTGGTTTAACGAAAAGAGAACACAACTATTAGACATATGTGTCCCTACCACTGTGTCGCGATTAAAACACAATTCAAAACCGCAGGCAATTGTTTTCGCGTAGACAGATACTCCAGATATATTAATGAAATAGAAATTGCACGTGTCTAACACGGTTAATGTCGCAGTCACTGTCTGCGCCGACGTCGAGATAGTCCTTGATTACCCCCCCCCCCCCCCCCCCAATCAAAGGTTGTTTGAAGAAAAATAAACAGAAAATAGAAATCGTGTTTAATATGGTTATTGTGGCAAATATAGAGATAGTCTTGTTTGCTGTACCACGACCTACTCTATGTATTAGTATTAGAGAAGGCGTTGGCTGCACGTAACTCGCCGGCGAATGGTAAATACGGCGCATGCGCAATTACTAACGTGGCTATAATTAGAAATCACTAAAGTTATAAATATTAGTTGCGTATATTTTGGCATTAATTGTGGTCACCTATCTCTAACAGTGACAGGTTGAATTTCAAACCACGACGGTTCAAAATCCGGTATCACAACAAACATATCCTGAAAATTTCAGCTAAATCGGTTCAGTAGTTTCCGAGTCTATAGAGACCAAACAAACACACAAACATTGATTTTTATATATATATAGATATATCTGTTAGCTTTCCCACAATAAGAACTCGACATTTCATGTCTTTATATGTTGCATTTACTAAGTTAATAATTGTCTGTGGGATTCCAAAGTGCCCCATCAATTTCCAAAGAGATTCCCTATCAATGCTGTCAAATGCTTTTTCATAGTCTATAAATCCAATGTAAAGTGGTGAGTTCATTTCAATGCATTGCCCTATTATTATAAGTAATGTGGCTATCTGGTCAGTACATGATCTGTTTGGCCGAAAACCTGCCTGTTCATGTCTTAGCTTTTTATCAATAGCATCTTTTAATCTTTCCAAAATAATTATACTTAACATATTTCCAGGAACTGACAGCAACATAATTCCTCTATTTTCCTCTTTTTTGAGCAGTTTCACAAGATATCCTTCTCTCCAGTCTGCTGGTATTTCTTCGGTCTCCCAGACTTTACTAAATAATCTTTGTAGCGATTATGTACTTTACAGCCGCTGAACACGAAGAAGAGGAAAAAGGATTGTGGATAATGCTAACCTGTGTAAGTGCCTGGTACTTGGCAAACAGAGCTTGGTACTGCACATCAAGTTCATCCAATATGGACAGACTTGTTTCATCTCTTTCATGGATTTCTTTTGCATCAGTGGCCACTTTATTGAGGGACTCTGAATATTTCAACATAATTATATATATGTAAATCATGACCACAAAAAAAAAACTATGCACACATATATATACATATATACATGTCTACATTAAAGTTTCAGAATGCTATGAAGACTACTAAAAAATATTACATGTTGCGATTGTGGCTGGTGACCTTAATATACTGCTTCTTCTTTTTCTTTGCATTCACCAGCTGTAAACTCAGGTGGAAAGTTCTGGTTGTTCATCCACTTCTGGACTGCAGTCCTGTTCCAGAACCTGAGTGTTGCATCCATTTGACAGATCTGACACAATTGTGTGCAGACTGTTGGTTCCATGCCTCTCAGGCAGATGTACTCTGACTTCGGTGAAAGCTCCCAATTAGTCGACTCTTACAACATGGTTTTGGGTAGGCAGGTGGTCTATTCTTGTTTTCTCTTTAATAGGGTCCCGGAACCCACACGGGGGTGCTTGGATAATATACTGTTGTTGTTTCTGTAACTCCTCTCTATAGCACAAAAGCCTGGACAGTGTTGTAAAATCATGTGTTGCCCATGCAGCATGATCCCTCTCTCAGCCTGCTTTGTTACATCCAAAGAAACTATAATACATCTGGAATATAATGCTGTAGAAGTTGCCAGATCAGAGGAGCAGAGCTAGCCTCCTAAACCAGCTGCCAACAAAGGCTAAGGCCCACTCTGCTCTGCCAAAGTTTTCAAATTGCATTTCCTCATTGTCCTAGTATAAGGCTAGTATCCTCTTCAATGCACTCCTCTGCTCAAAGCCGTTGGCACAAGTGGGATGTCAAGTTTGGCGTGTGCCTCCGACATTCAGCAATAAGAGGAATGGGTAATACTAACCACTGTTATACGGTAACTTAGACATATCTCAACAAGACTTATCATAATAACAATAACTTACAATGTGCTGATGAGACCATTGATATCAGCAGGTCAAAGGTAACTACACAATGTTAAAGATACAGTGGTATGCCTTTTCCCTGTGTCTAGTTCTCCATAAGGGAAATCTTTTGGAATATATCCATTCTGCACTCAAGATTCATGACCCAGCCATTGAAGGCATCACTGCTTGAGGAGAGAGTTCCAGTAAAGGCATTTCTGCTTGAGGAGAGAGTCCCAGTTAAGGCATTTCTGCTTGAGGAGAGAGTCCCAGTTAAGGCATCACTGCTTGAGGAGAGAGTTCCAGTAAAGGCATCTCTGCTTGAGGAGAGAGTCCCAGTAAAGGCATCTCTGCTTGAGGAGAGAGTCCCAGTAAAGGCATCTCTGCTTGAGGAGAGAGTTCCAGTAAAGGCATCTCTGCTTGAGGAGAGAGTCCCAGTAAAGGCATCTCTGCTTGAGGAGAGAGTCCCAGTAAAGGCATCTCTGCTTGAGGAGAGAGTTCCAGTAAAGGCATCTCTGCTTGAGGAGAGAGTCCCAGTAAAGGCATCTCTGCTTGAGGAGAGAGTTCCAGTAAAGGCATCTCTGCTTGAGGAGAGAGTTCCAGTAAAGGCATCTCTGCTTGAGGAGAGAGTCCCAGTAAAGGCATCTCTGCTTGAGGAGAGAGTCCCAGTAAAGGCTTCTCTGCTTGAGGAAAGAGTGCATTCTGGTAATATCTGCTCTTTGATGCACGTGTTTGTTTGTAATAAGGTCCTTCCATGACATGCACATTCATAAAGATGGGTACCAGATAATTTTAAGAAAACAGTTTGGAAAGGACAAGTGAAGGAAAATGGAACTGACCACCCAGCCTCGATGCCCTGGTTTAAAAAATGCAAAGACAAATACTTTACAGACTAATGGCAATATCAACTATAAGACCATCACCAGAAATACAACAACCTCTCACCTTTACTACTGTACAAACTACTTCCAGAATCCAATTTCACAGCCTTGCCCTCTGACCTCAGTTCAGGGCAGTCATGCTCAATTTCATGCAGTATCCTTGGGTCAGATGTTCGCATGTCTTCCCTTGCATTACTGACGCTCAGAGAAGATATTTTCTGCTGATACTGATTTATATATGTTTGTTCTAGCTCGTACTGAACCATTATGGCTTCAGAGAGTTTGGCTTCTAATGCTTTTACTTTGTTTTCAAGAATTTGATTTTCTTCCATCAAGACAGAGCACTCTACATCTAGGACTTCATATTTTCTTCTGTCAATTGTCTGTTGTGTTTTTAAATGATGTAATGAGTCTTGGAGTTTTCTTATCTCAAGTTCATAAGGAGTCAGAGGAATATTTCTGAACTCATCCAAGCGTGTCCAAGCGAGGTTGTCAAAGCAGTAAGCTGAATTTTGATGTTTTGTGTCACTGAGACTGAGACGATTCAGACTGGATGTGCGTCGCATTTCAGTAACTTTTCCATTTAATTTTGTTTCATCAGTTTTCAGAGTTTCTAGTTTCTTCTCGAGGTCATCAATCTTTTCTTCCAGTTGATAAATCAAAGCTGATTGGCTGAAAGTGAAATATGATGGAAACCATCTTAGTGAAGCATTCAAAGACAGGTATCCAAAGCAAAGACGTTATAACCGACAAACATTCTACCCATCCTAAAAATAATCCAGAAGATAAGTCAAGTAAAAAACAAAGGCGACCCTTCCCCACCCAATCAGGTGTATTGGGCATATAGGGCTAGACTTATTTTGAAAACACCAGTCGGTACTCGGTGGGTGAAGTGGTCAACATCATGCAGGCCACCTTTACTTCCACAACTTTACCTGGTACCCGTTTAAGGCTGGGCTGACCTGAGAGCCAAGCCATTTTATAAAAAAGTCAGCTCTAATAAGGTATGAACACATGACCTTCGGATCCATAGTTGAGTGTCTAGCTGCTACACCCAGAAGGTGTGAAAATGTTTTTAAATTATAATTACACAAATATGAGAAATGACTGAAAGAAATGATTCTATGGTATATACAATAAAAAAACTATACTGCAAAAATATGATGGACACTTCAAATCTCAAATATAACCCTGAGGATTCAACAGGATATTATGTATAATGTTTGTTACAATTATTCTACTACGTAACTACGTATATCATTTTTTACAGAGATACAAGGAGTGTTGGTGGAGGAGAGTGACTCTAAGGATACAGGTTCAAAAAGAACACATGGGTTTCTAGTAATGGAATGGGGCTTAGGCACCAGAACAATGAGCTCAGGCTCCTGAGCATGAGCTCCTTGTTACTTGTTGTCTGCATCAACATCCTAACACATTTTTTGCACCATCTTCTGATGCAGCAGCTATCTCAGTGTCTTCATACTCATCGAACCCAGTAGGAGTTGACTAGCATATCTTCATTCTTTGCCCCACAAGTGGTTTCTGCATGCTTGTCTATGTTTAATACCCATTTAAAAAGTGGTTATCTTTGACTCCTCTGTCTCAACATCGCTAGAAAACAGTGCTTTCAGCATGACTGCCCTGTTCATATTTCTTCCTCTACTAACTACTGCACACACATATCCAGTCTGTCAGCTCTTTCATTCCCTTGCACCCCCTGCATATCCAGGTGTGTACAGCCAAGATAGTTTCTTGAGTTTGTAAGTTTCAACCTTCTAAGTATTCTCATTTAGTCTGTCACTCTCAACGCATAAGCTGCTTTCAATATGCCAGCCATACAAATACCCGTCTGGAAAGTTTAGGATATACAGCATGGCATGACATGAGGTGCCTCTTGTGCATTCGAGGATCCGTCTCTGGCTTCATTTTGCATATTCTCTAGTCTTTTCAGCTGATACCTGCTGACTATGACGTCAAACCCACAGTCAATCACTGAGAGCACCTAAGCCTGATAAAAGTAAAAGTCTTTGTCTTTGTTCCATCTTGGCTACCATCATCCTTAGCAATGCAAAACTTTTGTTAGCCTTTATAATGACATCAGTGACATGACCTCAAAAGGACAGACATCTGTCAAAGTGGATACCAAGACATTTGATGACCTTTATATTTCCTTCCCATATATACTGAGAACCAAGTCACTGCAACCTTAAGACGGGTTTACTATAGCCATTGATTGCTGACACAGCATCTGGTCAGTCTCAAGTTCCTGCTGCAGTGCTTTAGTTGTCTGCTCTCTGTCTGTATCCTGCCAATATGATAGTACATCATCACCAATGGACATAGTATGCCCCAGTCCCATATTCTGGGCGTGTGTAACCCCTGATATGAACACATTTAATAGTCAAGTAACAATAGTGACCCCTCAGGTAACTCCTGGTATAATGCTCAGCTGCCCTGATATCCATGCCCCACTCTGCAGCACTATGTTTCTTTCAAACAAGCGCCACTATTCCAGATGATCAAGGTTGGATCAACACTTATATCTAACTGCTGTGTCACAGAGGATACTGCTGTATACATGCTCAAGATCAGTGGCTACTGCAACTGTTTTAACGTCAGCTTTAAAGCACTCATAGGTATCATAAGTAAACACTGTGTCATTGGTCCAGGTGCCCTTTCCAAGTGGGGGGTGGGAGGAGCAACCCGGCGATCTCCAAGATTGGGGCAGTCTTTATGCCATGATTATTTCAAGTAGTTTACCAATCATATTTTGCATGGTAATATTCAATAAACTGTGCAATCTATTGTTCACATCTTCTTTGTTCAAAAGTGCAAAAATGCTTTAAAAAATTGCTTACTTCTCTAATTTCTGTTTGTCTGCTCTGGATTCCATTAACATCTTCTTGTTGGTGTTTTCCAGATCTTGTGCTGTCCTGTCCACCTCTTCATATATTCTATTTCTGGTCTCTGTCATGGTTCTCATAGCCTCTACTTGGTGTTTCAGTGACTTGGATTTAGACATGAAAACAAGTCAATTTGAATTTTCAGACATGGAATAAATTAAGGAAGTTAAAGTTATATGTCGAATGGCCCAAGCAAAGACAGCATTTACAAAATTACAAATATTTTATGCAATCTTTCTTTGCTAATCGAGACAATAAAGTGAATTCTTACAAGTTTTATAAATTCTTTATTGATATATGGATGTGAATCATGGACAGTTGGTAGACTAGTGAAAAATTTTCTGGAAGCTGTGGAGATGTGGTTTTATACAAGAATGATGAGAATACCCTGAACAGATTAAAAAGAGCAATGAAGATGTCATGAAAGAAACTTACGAACAGAACTGAGAACTATCTGTAGTGAGGTGATGTTGTTGTGTCTTACTGCTGTTATTTGTTTCAGTATAGGTTACTAAGAATTCTGAAATCCCTTCCATATTGGAGGCATACAATTAGCTTTTCATGCTGCACCCTGTCAAATGCCTTCTGTAATCTATGAAACATGCATAAATACTTTTCTGGACTTCTACAAGAATATATTTTTCAGTCAGCATCTTCAAACAAAGCTCGCGTGCGAATCTGAAGGTTGTGGGTTTGCTCCCTGGCTGAGCCGGACTTTTTTTAAAAATGACCACACTCCCAGGTCGACCCAGCCTTGAGTGGGTACCGGGTGCAGCCCCGGGAAGTAATTGTGGTCTGCGTTATGCTGACCACATCACCCATCTTGCGCCGTTTGGTCTATAAAAATATAGGTCTAGCCCTATATGCCTTATATGCCTAAAGGCGTGGAAAATGGTCCTTTACTTTTTTTTTTTTAAATCTTTATACAAATTATGGCTTCCTTAGTGCCCCTATTTTTCCTAAATTCAAACTGTTCTTCAAACACTTCATTATTTTTTTTATTTTGAATTCTTTCTTGCATGATTTTTTTTTTCAGTTATATGGCTTATCAAACTAATTGTTCACTATTCTTCACACTCAAAGGCACTATGACAGCCCACTAGGGCACTATGACAGCCCACTAGGGCACTATGACAGCCCACTAGGGCACTTTGACAGCCCACTAGGGCACTTTGACAGCCCACAACGGCACTTTGACAGCCTACTAGGGCCCTTTGACAGCCCACTAGGGCACTTTGACAGCCCACTAGGGCACTTTGACAGCCCACTAGGGCACTTTGACAGCCCACAACGGCACTCTGACTGCCCATATTCTGGAGGTTTTGTGATGGGAGTAGAAGGCCTAACCTTATTTCCTCCATGCTTAATGGCAAAAGACTTCTTGTTATTCTTCTTAGTGCCATGACAACAGTGTACATTGTTTACAGGGCACAAACTGCTGTCTTTTTATCATCATCATCGTCATCATGTGCCATGCAAGAAAGCGATCACCAGAATCATGGATCAGTTCACTGTTTGTGAATCACCCCATCTGTCCGGCCAGACCATAAAGGTATTTATTTCTTGGCCTTCCTCTTGCTCTTTTTTCATCAGTCTTGCCAGTTGTTAGCAAGTTCTCAAGTGCTTTCCTTCTCAAAAAATGTCCAAAAAGTATTGACTATATCTAATTGTTCTAATAAGTTTATCACTTTCATCTGTCTCGATGGTTACTGCTTTGTTTGTTTTTCTATTCTTCCATGATATTCTTTGCATTCTTCGGAGAAACCACATCTCTACCGCGAGTAAATGTTTTTCAGCTTGTCCCCTCATTATCCATACGTCACATGTGCATATAACAACACAAGTTCTATATAACATATTACCACTCTATTTTTCACTGCAAGTGAGATTTTCTTATTGCTGAGAATCTTCTGCATCTTGCTAAAAGGCCACTTTTGCCATGGCGATTCTTGTTCTTATTTCTGCAAGGCCTCATGCATCTGATGTTATCACTGTTCTTTTGTGAATGCTGGGCGCTAACACCATCCACAGTGTACAGCTGCCTGAAAGCTACAAGAATATAGGTACTTTAATCTGGGGGTCTACTCCCTCCGCCACTCCTCCCTCCCCCGACCCCTCCAGGCCCTAAATTTTTTTTAAATGTCTATGAGTCGATGTTGTCCCCTGGCCATGTATAGAAGCTTTCTTTATATTTTTTATACATGTAACAAAATTATCAAAAATATTATTACGTTTAATTATCATTCCATGAGGTGGGTGAGGGGGGAGGAAATAGGTCAATATAATTATTACCATTCTTTCGAAACAAGGAAGAGGAGAAAGTAACTACCTGTATCTCTACATGCTGGTCGTGTATGATGTTTTGCAGCTGATTCACCTGAGATTCCAATTCTCGATTCTTCTCCAGCAACGCTTTGCCCAGCTCAGCCGCAAGTTCGAGATCTGTGAGTTCAGGAGAAAAGTAAAAGTGATTTGTCTCATAACAATATTTTGTTCAACCCTAGCGGTTATAATGGGGATACGAAGAATTAACTAATTTTGCGACACGATCACAATTTGGTCGGTTTGTCCCATAGGGGCTATCTCTAAAAGGTTTGCTATACCTTACTCGCAAGCTATATAGAGCCAGTTTTAACATACGGCTGTGAATTCTGGGCAATTAATAAACAAACCGAACAATATCTTGAGGCCTCGCACATGTGGTTTTACAGAAGATTCTTTTGAATTTCTTAGACAGATCAGTAGAGCAACCCGAAAGTTTTGAAACAGGCAGGTGCTCGAAGACAACATATCACAAACATCAGAAAGAGACAGTTCTCGTTTTTGTGTTTGTTTGTTTTTGGTCCTGTTATGAGAAGAGGACAAATGAAACATGTAACCACTAACACAATCTTTGCAAAGAGAGACAGATGAAGGCAGCATGAAAAGATTCTTGACGGTCTTCTGTCATGACATGGAGCGGTGTCAACACACGAACTGATACACGCATTTGCGGATCGCAGATTGTGGAGAGGCATGATCGCCCACGCCAGTTGGCAAGACACTTGATGATGATTATGATGCTGATACCATACTGAGACTAAAGAATCTCAACCTGGACGTCATACAACAAGACAGACCCCATATACCCAGTTTAACCTCCAAAGAAGTTATAATTAGGGCACCTCTAACGGTTACACCTGCCAAGTGTCACCCTGCAGTTCTATGCGAGTAGGGATAAATTATTTTGGGTCATTTTATATATCATGTAATCACTTCCTTCTTATATTAATGCGGTTTGTATCATTATTATATGACATGTTGTCCTGTAAACATCTTTGGATTGTGATTAAACAAAATCGGTCAGCGGGGTAACATTCTCTCCCAAGGTGTGACATGTGACAGACTGTAATTTTAGTTTAATTTTCCATACTGCATATTATTATTAATTACTTAAACAAGGATTGGCCTATTTGGTCCCGCTTCTGCAATAAAATGTGTTAGCAGCCGATCCCTAACTGCACCCTTGTTGATGCACATGTCATGCTGGTAAGTGACCTTATCTTGATGGCACCAGGCAGCGCAGAAGTACGAGACATAACCTCGGCAGCACACGTTGTGAGTTGTATACAGCAATCTTGACCTGAATACCAATAATCTGGAGAATGTCACGTACTAGAGAAAGGGGAAATGAGAACTCACGGAACGACCAAGATCTGTGAGTTGGAAAGAACGAGGTGGAGTGTGAGAGAGAAAACTGGTTTTGTAATTCATCTTCTTTTCTTCTGCATCTTGTTTTTCTCCTCCTCTCGTTATCACCTGCTATTATAATTATTATTTCTATAATTATTAACTTTCTTCCTCTTCTTCTTCTCCTCCTCCTCTTTCTTTCTCTTCTTCTTCTTCTTCTTCTTCTTCTTCTTCTTCTTCTTCTTCTTCTTCTTCTTCTTCTTCTTCTTCTTCTTCTTCTTCTTCTTCTTTTTCTGCTTCTTCTTCTTCGCGTTCACCGGCTGTAAACTCCGGAGGAAAGATCTGGCTGTTCGTCCACGTGCACATCCGTTTTGCTGATCAGGCTTTGTGCGCAAGCTGTAGTTCACACCTCTCAGGCAGATGCACCCCGACTTGATAAGAAACGCCCCTAATTATTCTAACTTTTTTCGAAATGCTTGTCAGGGGGGCAAGTAGTCTATTCTACTTTCCTATGCAAAGTGGCCTCACAACCCACATGGGATGACATGGAATTCAAGCGTACAGTATAGAGATCTGTGGTTTTCTGTGAGTTGACGATAATTGGTTTTAACTAAAAACAGCCAAGATGGTTGTATAAAGGAGAAAGAACAAAATAAAAACACCAAAAAAAAAAAAAAAAAACTCAGAACATGCTGAAATAAGAAGCCAAACTTATTTACTGACATAGAAGTTCCGAAAATTTAGTAATGATACTGATTTTATTATGGCCAAGACAAAAATGCCATCTATGAATCAAAGCATAGAATCCAAAGAGGCAACCTTTGTCTATGATCTAGCAACTTTTCATCGCCGCCTGATTGACAGATAACAAACAAGCTGCCATTTTGTTAACCTAGTCAGGGGTGCATTGTTACGTAATCAGCAGGGAGCAAAAAAAAAAAAAAGCTAACATTAAATTATTTTTAAAACCCAGAAAATGCGCCATCGCGACAGTTAAATTGATGCGACAAGTTTATGGGGATAATCGTTAATCTCGTGTACAGATTTTCTGCTGCTATTCACGATTCAAAAGGGGTGTGGAAATGATTACTAATGCAACTAGAATTGGACGCCAAATTTCTGTTCACAATGACCAACTCATTGCAAAATTCCGAGAACAGATACAAGATCGTTGTTCGCTGTGAGGATGATGGTAGATGAATTCGGTGTTATTACAGAGACTATTCGTAAAAATTTAGTGGAAGTTTTGGGCAAGAAAAAGATTTTTTTCGGTTTGTTTTCAACACTTGGCAATTTTTGCCCTTCTTCATGACAATGCACCATCTGCAAGGGCAGTAGTTGTACAGAAATTTTTGACCCTAAAACGATGCGTGTTCTCAACCATCCACCCTGTTTCCCAGATTTGTCTCCCTGTGACTTTTTTCTAATTAAAGTTGCCATTGAAAGGACGCAGAGAGAGAGATAGAATAAATATACAAGCCGCTTTGACAGATGCGCCGGAACACGTGTGGCTAAGACCACCTTGGGCCTCCCCTAAGAAAATAATTTCCCTAGAAAATTATAATGTTTAAGGGAGCTAAGCAAGCCTTTTATTTTTTTAAAAACCGTGTATAGAAGTATTCTCCAATGAACCTAAAAGGTTGTGACAACAGAGATAAAATACCTTAGAAGAGCTGCAGGAGTTTCAAGGAAAGACAGAATACGAAATCAGACCAATGCTAGGGATAAAGCCAGTCTTACAGATCATCAAAAAACAATAAATGAAATGGTTTGGACACCTAACAAAAATGCCCTAGTACTATCTACCACAGCCAGCCATACTGGAACGTTACAATGGGTATATAGCGAGCGGAAGACCTCAGAAAATATGGAGTGATCGTATTAAGAACAGCCTTACATAAATGAACATCAATCTTAATAGTGCTCTTGACAGGGGACATCAACAAACGTTACATCTTCCCCCGACACTTCGATGAGGTACAAGGTGGAAGAGAAGAAGAATAGAAGTATCCTTTGCCGTCAGAAGCGGCATGACCCACGTCCTCACTACTTCATCAACTCCTCCCTCTAATTCTCTTCTCAACAAAGTACTTTTGTAATGGCTTTGCACTGGAATCAGAGGCCCAGATATAAAGGGGAAAACATGGAAAAGGGAACTAGAGAGTGGACAAAAAATGGGCAGGACACAGGAAGAGCTGCATGCGATAGTGAAGGATAGAACAACTTGGCGTGAGCTGGTTCAGCGCCTATGCTCCTTCGGTTACAAAGGCAGTGGAATAAGAAGTTGCTATTTGATGTATATGTTTATTTCGCATTATTTCAAATACCTGATTATACTTATTCACCATTTAGCACACGATTTACCGTGACGCATGTGAGCCCGCCTCGAACTCCCAGAACATTTGTAAGCCACTAAGTCCACATCTTCCTTTCCTGATAGTGTTGTGTGCGTGTGGTGCGTGCGTGCGTGTGTGTGTGTGTGTGTGTGTGTGTGTAAGCCCTGAATGTTTTGTCACAACATCACATACACAAGGAATGGGAAGTCTGGTCACAGTCACCCAAAAAAAACTGTTTACATCACCAATTTAAAAATGAATGCATAACATCCCGGCTAATCAAGCGACCGAGCAAGCCTTGGTTTGGCTCGCGACCGTCTCATAAACTTCGACACCTAGTGGCATAAGCAGGCGAGGACAAAAGAAGAAGAAAGAAGTTAGGGTCCATTTCTCCATGTTTTTAGTGTTAAAAACTCTGACATGGTAAATATACAACACGCGATATTAACGGCATTGCGGAACACCCCCGTAACCTTGTGCCAAAGAGACAAATTCATGAACTACCAGTCAGAAGTGAGCTAATGTGTAAATGGGCGGGGCGTGGGGAGACTAACGTGAATTTTACCGTCCCAGTCTATAGTCATCATAAGGTAGGTGAGTTCTATGTGGCCAGGTGATTAAGCCACTATCTTTTGCTGGCGAGTAGGGGTGTTTTACAAATCTATGTGGAGGTCGTCGATAAAGAAAGTCTACTGTGTTTTGTATTAAGAAAGTGAAATAGAACGTATGTCAATCAAGTGACATGAGAGAAAATGAACAAGTGCGAAATTCAAAAGATACTGTCATGAAAGCTTATTTCTCCCACGGTCATGGACAAACTGGCAGGCCATGTAAACATGGACAGGACTGGGTGAGAGAAGCAAATAGATGTCACCTGGCACAGCAGGTTCCCATCACTGGTTGTGAATGAATGAATGTTTGCATCATTAGTTAAACCCGGGCATTGCATGTATTTGCCAGTGCATCAGTAATGCCCTTTCTTTGTAAACGTATTTTTAACAAATCAGAGTTAAAGACGTTGATTATTTGCACTGCCTTACAGCCTGTTTATTTTGTAACCACACTAACAGCGAATTATCTCTCTCTCTCTCTCTCTCTCTCTCTCTCTCTCTCTCTCTCTCTCTCTCTCTCTCTCTCTCTCTCTCTCTCTCTCTCTCCCTCTCTCTCTTTATCTCTATCTCTCTCACCGCCTCCACTCCACTACTTTTAAGACGCTTTTCTTCATGTGGTTGGGATGGCGAAAGCGAAGGGGGGGGGGGGGGGGTGTGAGTGTAAAATACGACTCATTATAGTCTCTTAAAATTGGATGTGTTTTTCTAAAAAAAACACAGGTATTGCAGTCTAGCTGTAAACCACAATATAACGTGTCAAACCGCTATTCCAAATGTAAACGGAGGAGGAGGAGAAGGGGGAAGAGCAGCAGCACGGATTAAATTTTGATTTACTATTATGACTACAATGTTTAATGTAACAGTCACATTGACGGCTGTGCATTTCTTGATTTATTGCGACAATTAGTAAAAGTAAACTTTCGCTGGAGTTATGTCCCTTCGAATATTTTTTTCTTTCAATTCGCCCTTGAAAAGGTACTTTAATATATATATATATATATATATATATATATATATATATATATATATATATATATATATATATATATATATATATATATATATATATATATACATTATGCTGTTATTTTTTTCTTCTTTAAAAGTCGTCAATTGTGTTTTAGATTATTTTTGTAAGCATAACTCATGATGCACGCAGGAGAAAGCAACGCAATTTTAGGTGAACACTATGCACTGCCTGCGAAATTGAAACACTATAAACGGATAACGCTACGCCAAAACATTCAGTCATTTTTAAGCAGTCACGAATAGCGCGTCCTATCGATAAATTCAAGGTATATTGCTTTTGGCTGATTGCAGGCAGGAGAAAGTCAAGGTCAGGTTGCCAGGCATCTAAACGTGCATCCGAGTGCCATCAGTCGATTCTGACAGGTCCACATCAGACATCTGATCGAATTTATGCCCAGGAAATGTCAGACACTAAACCAAGCAAGAGAAGGCCAAACACCATTCTAACGGGACACGCCTACGCCTAAAAATTATCCTGACCGAGATGGAAGAAAAATTCCGATGTCAACTGTTTGGTGGAATCCTAAGGTATTCCTGTGTGAAATTTGAGTAATTTCCCTTACTGCATTACAAAGATGCAGAATGTCAAAATTGTGAGTATGTATGTTCCTTTCAGTAAATATGCGGGTTTTCTTTTTTCCCCCAACAGTATAAAATAAACAGACAGACAATGTATAGCGGTAACTATAGCTTTCGATTTTTATGTTGTCTAGTATGTTCTAACTTTCTACATTTTTCTAAGAGTGGCGATCAATACATTGTCTGTCTGTTTGTTATTAATAATATAGTACGAAATAAAATAATATTACTGAACTAACAGCTAGGATCCTAATGGGACGCCGAGCCGAAGAAACTGGTGTCTATTAAGTGTAATATCCGGTGTGTGGAATGGACATCTTCTCAACGTTCCGGACCTCTGCCTCTAGCTCTGCTAGTAAAAAATCCTTTTTACACAAGATGTGCATCTGCCATATAATGCTACTCATACTTTTATAGATCAGTACCTCAGTGGACGATGAATAAGAATTTGTTTTTCTTCACTAGGCTACTCTAACAGACACTTTTTTGTTTGTTGCGATTTTCGCTAGCTAAGTTTAGACACTTAGGGTGGTGGGGGAGGGGGGGGGGGGGTATATGGATGTAATTAACACCAGGTCAGACTTCTTTACTTCCTAGTTTTTTTTAAAACCAGGTATCCATTTTTCAGCTAAGTCGACCAGAGAGCCAAGGTAAATTTTGGAAAGACCGAAAAATCCGCCTTGATATGATCCAGGACCATCGGGCCGGTTGGCCAGCGTCTAGCCACTAAGCTAGCCCGATTTCCCTAGACTTTACTAGGATGACTAGATATTTTCTTAGGGTACAACTAACGTTAGTCTCCCCAAGGACCGCCCATATATACACTAGCTCACTTCTGACTGGCAGTTCCTGAGCCGCGTGGCCTTCACAGAAGGTAACGGGGGTGTTCCGCAATGCGATTGATTTTGTGTATTTTAGCACGCCAGTGCTTTTAACACTCCAAAAAACAAGGAGAAACTGGGTCTAATACAACCCCCCTAGAGAGTGCTGCAATCTATGTCACAGGTTTGATCTTTTTCAGAATAAAAACGTAAATGCAAGACATCACAGAAACCAAACAACCAGCGGGACACACCCGTAACCTTCAAAAAAGTCGACCAGCCCAACAAACTTGTTTATGTAAAGTGACCTACTCTGATTACGGAGACTAACGTGAAACTAACCTTTTCTTCGTTATTAGGCATGTAAAAAATCGGGACCAACACATGGCCTGAAGAGAAGCTAAGTATGTCGATAGGCATATGTAACATATCTCCAGCCAAGCTTTTTCGGGGGGAGGGGGAAGGGGGGGGGGGGGGGCGTCCTAATGTGGATTCGAACATAAGAACTTCGGACCGTCAGGTGAGTGTGTACTGTACCACGGCTCCAAGTGTATAAATCTCTTGTGTATTCTCCCTCTTTTCTTAATCCTTCAACTCCTCTTCTTCTGCACTTCAACTCACAATGCAGCACAGTCCCTTAACCACTTCTCACAATGCTCTATAGTGAAGCCATTTGCCTTATGCTATGAAGGTCATGTGTTTGTTTTACGGCTGCGTCGTTTGGTTAGTGTGGGTGCAATTTTTATGGAGACCCAAAGAGATCGTCTCAAAAACTACGGTGTTCGTGCTTTGTGCTACCGTTTTAGCAATCTGCTAGCCAGTCAGCGGAGAGAGACCGGGTCATAAAGTGGAGTGGGGGAGGTGGGGGACCAGTGCAGTTAAATCGGTTCTCTTGACTTTAACCTTTTCAACACAAAGCTCTCTGTTATATGCATTTTGGCAGCCAATTCTCTGCTTGGCGGGATAATCACACAAACCCTTATTAGTCGCCCCTTATGACACATACTAGGTGACTGTATTACTAACAGCCTGCAAACAAAAAAGCCAGATCTGTCAAACGAATGTGCATGCTAAACTCAAAATCTGGAACAAGACTAAAGTCTAGAAGTGGACGAACAATCAGAACTTTCCGGCAAAATGTACCGCTGGTAAAGAAATGTTACTAACGATCTGTGCTTCTCTGTTTAGCAACAAGACGCTCAACTGCGGATCCGAAGGTTCGGGCCTTCACACAGCCGAACCACGGCCTTCTCTATTTATAGTAATTGTTAAATAGCTCAAGATGGGCGTGGCCGAAGATTTAATGTTTTTAAAATTCTTTTTTATTTTTACAAATGAATTTGGCTCCCAGGGTGACCCAGCTTTTACTGGAAAGTAAAAGCGGCCGGCGTGATGTTGACTGCATCATCCACTAAGTGCCGATTGTTCTATAAAGTCTAGGTCTGGCGCTATATGGTCAACATGTCTGAAGGCATGGGAAAGGGTTCTTTACTGTAACCTCTGCTTCTCTTACAGGCCCTGCTAAGACAAGGGTGAAATCTAGCCCCATAGAAAACATCAGGTGGCATACCGGCTAGCGGGGGCAACCGGAACGTGAGGGTTTACACACTTTGAGCCCTCCCCTCGGAGAAAAAAAGATAGGTGGGGTGGGGGAAGGGGGGGGGGTGGAGTCCCTTCAACTCCCTTCCCCAGTTTGTTAAGAGGTTAAGCTAACCTATCACCACCAACTATGTATAAAAATGCTCCTAACAGTTTTGTTTGTACATTTATTACTACTATTATTATTAAGCACTTGAGGCCGCCCATGACCCTTCCCCTCCAGAACATTTGTAACAGGATTGAGGGACCCCCCCCCCCCCCCCCCCCCCCCCCATGCTGATTATATGGTCGCCGGTGGCTAGACCTTTCCTAACGAGTCGGAGATTTTGGGATCGAATCTGCATGGAGCCGGACATTTTTATAACTGACCTGGGCTCCATTGTAGACCGAGACTAAAGTGGTGACTATGTAGTGTCCTGGGAAGTAAAGACAGCTAAATCATGTCGACCGACCGGTTCATTATGAGCAATATGATTCGAGCACTAAGAAATGTGTGAACCGTAGTGTGGTGAAGCGGCTAGATACTGTGCTGCAAATCCGAAGGTCCTGGTTTGGGTCCTGACGGATCTGGACTTTTCTCAGAAATGACCTTGACTCCCATTTCGACCCAGCCTTGAGTGGGTACCAGGAGCAGTTCTGGGAAGTAAAGTTGGCTGGCGTGATGCTGACCTCATTACCCACCAAGTGCCGATTGGTCTATAAAAATATGCATAAAGGCGTGGAAAAGGGACCTTCACAAGCCCCAAGTGTCAATGACATTTTAACGTTTCTTTACTTAATTAACTTATAATTTATACAAACAACATACTTACTTTGCTCGTACCATTCTTCGTCAAAGGTCCTTTCTTGACCACCAGCACAATAGTATTCTGAGGACGCCATCGCCAAATCCAAATCACAACAGATCCACTGGTAGTCCACGAAGCAAATCCACACGAAAGAGAAGCAAATCCACACGAAATAGAAATAAATCCACACGAAAGCGAAGCGGAATTCAGTTTCCCCAAAACACGAATAAAATTAACGCTGCGGTTAAGATGCCTTCATCAGCAGATAACTTTACGAAATCTAACGAGACAGAACTCCATCCACTTTCTAATAAAGCCAAAATTATATGTATACCAGTTTCACTAATCTAATCAATACTTTCTTCATCTAGTATCAATTATTTCCCGCTGACGCCGGCACGTGCATGGCTACCTAACTTCCACTGTGTTGTTAAATATTCTATAACAAGCATATTAAAGTATTCAAAATAATTGATTAACGCCCGACACATTTATTACTGATATCCAGTTAATGCCGACAGGGGAAAATTATTGCTAGATCCGTCTGCCGAAGTTCTCGTAAACTAGCCGTTGTAAATACCATAAATACCACAAGGGAACTCACTAGAAACGAATAGGAAGCCTGACTCATTAACAGTAAGTAAGCAAAACATTTAAAAAGACAACAGCCACATTGACAACGCTAAAAGTTGTCTGGCTGACGGTTCCTAATCCTATTTTGCTATTGACGAAACTGAAACCGATATGCCGGCCGAAGAAGTAAACATAGTTTATCAAAAGTTATCACTAATTCAAAAATTCTTTCTATGAATGAGCGAAGAAAATCAGCCGTTCCTGTTGCTTACGTGGACAAGAATAGTCAACTGTGTGCGAGTGAACGGGACACCACACACAGTCGGGCCAGCGATGTGTAGATTTTGTGTAACTTGCCCTCCGTCGTTTCTCTACGGAAGCCCGAACGATCACGTTAGGTTTTGAGTGCATTTAACAACCGCCGTACTAGGTAGGGGTCAGTGGGTCAGTGTCATTAATCAAGATCGAGTGGGTCTGATTGTGGACTAGGGGTGGACCCCGTTACGTTGTAGCCAGAGCACTAACACCGCCCCAAGTTAACATGGAGGCGAGCCTCACTCCTGCTCGCCCAATTAGGTAAGAAGATATTCGGGTAAACCCAGATTACGCACTCCCCATCATCTTTTTCTTTTCTTTTGTCAGTATCTGCTTAAAGCCACTAGGCGCCGCAGTTCATTACACTATATAGCATTGTCCCATTTATACCATAGTTTTCAGAACATCCCCTAGTAAATCTCTGCTGAAGACATTTTCTTGATGTATAAAAGCGATTTGGTGTCAATGTTCTTTTGTCTTCACGTTAATTTGCCTTAGGGCGAAAATAGCGTCATTACACCCTCTGCCTTTCCTGAATCCGACCTGTGCTGGGCTCAGAGTCCGTGCTACAACAGATCTAATTCGTTGTTCCAGAATCTTGACACCTACGTGGCTTAAAACGGAGATGCCTCTAGAAGTGTTACAATCTGGCTAAATGCCTTTTCTTTTCCGTATTAGTACTATATGGCTCTTTGCCAGTTTGATGGTACAGTTCGTTCATTCCAGGTTTTCCTAAATATATGGAGCAGCCATGTGACTCCCGTTTCTTCACATGCCTTTATTGCCTCAGCTGTAATTCCGTCAACAACAGCGGCCTTACTTTTTTTTGGACTGCACTTGATTGATTCTCTGACTTCTTGTTCAAATATTCGGTACTTTCTAATTAGCCGACCACAAACAGGGGAAATCCACAGGTCACGGGACAGTCTAATATTCCAGGGGGTAGTGGATTAAGCGTATAGTTTTGGTGAGGTGAGGGTTAGGGTTAGGTTAACAGGCGAAAACCTTGGCCTTGGAAGACATTCGCTAAAGCACAGAAAACACAGAAAGCCCGCTCTTACCACCCTCTAAAATACTGGACTGTCTCGTGACATCATTTGGGGTCGGCTAAAAAGAAAGCACAATTATTCCAGCCAATTCTTTGTGTGTAAATCTGGGTGTGAATGATATTGTTCATTCATTGTCTGTTACGTTCAGAAAAGTTTACAAATATTCTTTCTCTGATCTAATCCTCTTCGTGTATGGGTCTACATTGACTGTCTTTGACATATCACCTAAAAAAAATTGTTAAAGAGGTTGGGGGTTGACCCCCACCTCCCCCCCCCCCCCCACAGACACACACAGCAGGTTTTTTTTTAGGAAAGCTACGCTACACCCCCCTCCCCTTCCCAATTTTAGCCATGTACAGAAATGATCTTTTAAATTATTTCTTCATAGATTGCATGGTACAAGTAACTATCTCCGATCGCCGGCCTGTACCGTTAATTGTCCGTTCATTAAGACTTGCTGACCTTTCACACGCGCGACTCTCTGTTACAGGGGTGTCATGTTGTTTTGTCCTCGACACTCTCAAAAGCGATGTCGCGTGCTCTATATATACACGATGTGACCGCTTTTAACGACCCCAAAAGATCTATAACTGGCCCTAACCCCCACTCCCCCCCCCCCACCAACCCGCACCCCACAGCCTCAGCCTACGTCCCACGAGAGACTGCAGCCTACCTTTTGTGGTTTAAGAACTGTTAACATTTTTCCATTGTAGGGAAAACAAGAATAGACCCACTGCCTACCCAGAAGCATGTCGTAATTGAGGAGCTTCTTTTAAAGTCGGAGTGCATCTGCCTGAGAGGCACGGAACCAACAGTCTGCATTAAAATGATTCAGATCTGTAAAACTGATACACACGCAACACTCAGGTTCTGGAGCAGGACTGCAATTCAGGAGTGGACGAACAACCATAACTTTCCGCCAGAGTGTACAGCTGGTAAACGCGAAGAAGAAGAAAAAGAAATACAGGGCACTAGCTGATGATGATTATGTATGTGTGATAATAAGTCTCTATTAACTTTACTGGCGATCTTAATTTTAACCCACTCTTCTCAATATACACTCGCTACTGCGGTAACGCAATTATCCTCACAAACAGAAACATTAATACAACATTCTCATACAGAAAAGATATAAAACCGAACGAAAATCCTCACACAGAAAACAGACAGAAGTCTTCCGCAAACCTGCGGAAACAATAACGTCTGCCCTGGACAGTTCCAAAATCGCAACTGTCTCCCAACTGACTCTACTTCTGAATTCTATCCCCAGTTAAGTCTTATAAATTACAGGCAGCTTTTCCAACTTATAATGTAGCAGGCCCTTTGCAGAGCGCTCTGATCACGGTCTGTATGAAAGAAAATATGTCTCTTGCAAGCTCTTTCACCTCCTTCACTTTCCTCACCAAGGTGTCATGTGCCTATCTTTGGGCTGGTCGGCTTCAGTCCCTCTTTCCTGGTACCATGTCTTCTGCTAGCACCCCCCCCCCCCTCCCCGATCGGCAGGCGCTTGTCAGTTTCTAAGACGATATGATGTTTATTAGTCGATCTTTCTTGATGTTCCGATCTTTCTTTATTGTCCATTGTGTCCTTAGAATCTTTTTATAGCGTTTAAGCTCAAAGTTCACATTTGCTTCCTTGAGGATTGCGAGATAGTCTACGGCTTACAACCGTATTTACTACAGGGAAAATGCTTGTTCTCAAAATTTTGACTTAAATATTATTGCTGGTACTTAACCATACACTTTTAACACTGCATTAATATGACCATCCTACTTTTGAATTCCGTTGAATAGTCTCTATTGCAGTTTATTAGGGAGCCTGGATATTCTAATATGAAAATTTTCAATTTCTTCAACATATATATTTATTTTTGGGTAACGTGGAATTGTGTCCATTGACATGAATTTTCTTTTCTTTAAATTCAAGAACATGTTTTGAACTTCAATTTTTTTTTTTTTTTTGGACAGACATGATTAAATGTTCTATTCTCTTTACACTTTTCAAAGGAGGAGTGTCACCTGCATAGTGAAGTCCCGCTGTTTTGCTGCCTTTTTGGGTTGTTGTTGATAAAGGGTGCTACCAAAAAGTCCAACCACGAACTTTAAAAAAACAAAAAACAATAAACAATGTATATAAATTTTCTTTACATGTATTTGTCTATACCCTTTTATTTTTGTCCAGATATGTTATTATTATGTATGGGCCATTCATTACATTATACATAATAAAAATAACAATAATAATTTCTTTATTTAGCCCAGGTTCCCCCCCCCAACCCCCATTTCTGTGGTAAGCGGGGGGGGGGGGGGAGTCCCTCCCAATTTTTTCTTCCTGGCCTCGCGCCTCTAAGGGGTGCACGTAATATGTGCTCTGACTGTTTGTTATTTAGTAAAATCTTCTATAATGTCAATAAAATGTGAATGCCGTTAACAGACTATTTGTGTACTGGTCGCAAAACTAACTAAATTTCTCGAAGTGCAGAAACGGGGAAGGAGGGCAGAGTTTGGCTGTGGTATGACAGTATCGATACAATAAAAAAAACACGAAAACGATTCCAGTGTACCCAGACTGTTAACCTCGGTGTATTTCATGTCAGCAGATACCGACCCCTGAGTGACCCTAAAAATACCAAGATTGATCCTTTTATAGTTTTGATTGCATATTCGTTTTACAGATGTGGCTTATTTTTATGCAGACTGTTGGTTTCTGCCTTTTCAGGCAGATTCACTCCGGCTTTAAAAGAAACCCCGTACTTAGTTGCCTTTTACTGTAAAGGGGTAGTAAATCTATTCCATCCCTTTTCCTCCCTATTTTTCCATGGGCTAAGACCAGTGACTTAACAATTCAAATAAATGAGTTTTGTTACAGACTATCTACAACCAGGCTCGTCGGCACGGGAGTGCAACTCATCAAGGAGAAGGAAAACTCTATTCCTAACCAATCATTGCCTTGTGGCAATACCTTTTTTAGCGAAAGCTTAGTGGTAAACCATGAAGGGAAATCTGGAGCGGAAACCCCTAAGAACTCGAGCTATGTTGGTATTTGCCGTTACCTTTGCATTACAATTTTAAAAAGCTGTGTTGAATATTTTTTAATAATCTGTGTTGTCTTTTTCCTTGAGTTTTCCAGTCACAGCTTGTGCTGTAGGGAGGCTGCG